TCTTGAGGGACTCCTTGACCGCAGCCGCCAAACCTGGACTCCATTCTGCCCATGACTTTGATGCCAAAATCCTTTCACCGAGCCCACCATGAATCGCAGTTGTGACACCTCCACCTCTAAGTCCTGCCAGTTGGGACATCTCCGGCAAGTTGGTGACGATGCCAGTTGGCTTCCTCCTGCGATGCCTGGTTTGACCCTGGTCGAAGGCAAAGTAGATCAGGCCATCCTTCCCGACGAACTGCTGGACCTCCTTAAAGTTGAAGAAGCTCGGACAAATCTTGGCTTCCTCCTCATCCTCCAAGTAGTCCTTGGGATCCTCGGGGGACTCCATGAAAAACCCAGTTGGCTCCATTGGCAGAGTCCGACATTCATTCGACTTCACCCACAGCGCCAGGTGCTTCAACATCAGCGCGCTGTCGCTGTTGACAAGCTCCAACTCGAAGGGATCCAGGTGATCCAGGTGCCACCGCTCATCGTCTCTTCCACGGAGACGCCTGGGTCCCGGAGGCCCACGATTTCTCAATCTGCTTGTGGTCCTGCAAGGTGGGCCACCGATCACAGCCTTGATGAAGCCACCCTCTGCAAGCTTCCACAAGTAGGCCCACACTCCAGGATGGTGTATGTTGAATTGGGAACCCATCGCGGTGTCTACACAGATGCACTGGTAGCTCCCCCAGTTCTCCTTGGTCCAAACCGATGGATCCGCCCCAGAGAACAAGTGCACCACCACGCCCTTTCCTTGACGATGTCCCCGACGCTGCCTTCTATTCCAAGGGCATGTCCACACCATTGGATCCTCCCCCTGACCCACCATATGTCGAAGCACCTCTTCTGGGACTTCCGGAAAGTGCTCCTTCCACCAGATGCGCTCCGTCTCCTTGAGGTACATGCCCAGCTTCTCCTCCGTCTCAAAGCGATGCAACATTTCCAGTGCTTCCGCTCTTGGCATAACTGGACACCCTTGTCTCATGGAGCAATTCACCTGGCCATACGTTGGATGGGAAATGCGACAGCCTTCCGTTTTCCACACCACCCTGTAGCCCTTTGACACCAGCAAGTGAAGAGGAAGAATTGGTTCCACCTCATGCAAAGACAACAAAGTTTGATGATCCTTGGAGCGATACAAAGTTGTAGAACCACTGGCAAGCTCCACCTCGACTGCCACAAGGCCCTCAAGCTCGTCCACCCGAGCTCGCCGAAGTGCGTGAGTAGCACCACCATCCAGTAGTGCCCATTGGCCCACACCAGAGTTCTCGTCCAAGATCACCTGCTTCAGCTTGATCGATTTGACGCTCCTCAAAGACTTGAGAAGGCTTGCAGCCTCCTTCATCAGATCTGCCGCCGTCTCCTTGGGAGCTTCTTGAACTTGAGCAGGAGCCACAGACACCGGAACCTTCACAGGCTCTTTTTCAGCTGCACCCCCATCCGTTGATGCCCCTTTGATCTCCTCCTGTGCAACCACCTTGGCGACCTTCTCCCCTTGAGCTGCACCAGGAGTACCCTTCTCCGGAGTCATCTTTTCCTTGATCTTACTGACCCTTCTTGGCGTTTTGGTATCGCCGCCGTTGCTGCCACCCAAAGCCGTTTTGTGAGGACAATCCTTTTTGAGGTGATTTGAGCCCCCACGTGACCAACACCGGCCACGCATTCCTTCCATGTCATGCTGAAAGGTACAAGCCGCACCCCGTTTGCAACCCTCATCAGCTTTCCAGTATCTACATGGACCCTTTGTGCTGGTTGATGCCGGCAAAGTTGAAGAACCATCCTGACCGGCCACTTGAATAGCCTTCAAAACCGGAGAAGCCGTTGGTGCCGTAGAGAACATCTTTGAGTTCGTCACCAGCGCCAATTCCTCAGCTTCTGCCTGCAGGACCTCAGCATAGGCCCTCACCGCTTCCATAGTCGGCCGGATGTCCACCATGAGCTCCTGCCTCACCGCTGAGATGCGATAGCCCACCTGAAGACCACCAACCTTGGCCAAAGCGTCCGCCATGCGACCCAGCACCGACGAAAGCACCACAGGATCAGGAAGAGCCAAACGTAGCTCTGCAGCCCGACCCATCAGCCTCCTCCACTGACGAAGCCCTCCAAGAAGGTCCACCACTGACGACCCAATCTTTGGCTCAGTCACCTGCTTGAGAAGTGCTGCTTTTTCCACTCCACCACCAGGCTGATACACCGTGAACATCCGAAAAAGAATTCCAATTGATGTCAAAGTTCTGGAAGCCACCAAGTCTCGCTTGATCATCTCCGGACAAGCCGCCAGAAGCATAGTCACCCCACGCTGTTCAACCCGCTGGAAATCCACAGGAAGAAGAACATCCCCAGGACGTAGATGTAGTCGATCCACTGGGCCAGCGACCAACCACCTCTCGTAGAATGCCTCCGCCTGCTGCAAGACAAAGAGCCACCAATCCCTTGAAGTCGCTCCGATGTCAGACATTTGTGGACCAGCAAGTGCCAGCCAATCCCCAAAGGCTAGTGAAGCCCCTTCCGCACCCGGAGCCGGCATGGCTGGGAGCTCATGGCTCTTCAGCGACTCCCCAAAACCACCTTGAGCTCCAGCACCATGAAGACCACCTCGTTGATCCAAACCAGGCGGAGACGGAACACCTGCCAACAGCACCACCGCGATCTCCTTGTACAGGAGTTGACATCGCTGCCAAGCCATGACCAATCCCCCGAACTGGAGTTGTAGTAGCTCCAGAAGCTGCTCTATCACCTTGCGCTGCCAAAGGAGCTCCCTGGTCACCACCAGATGAAGCCGAATGGTAAGACCTGGAGTCTGTCCCCACCTCACCACGAAGCTTCCTGATCTCCAGCTTCCGCTTCACGCAGGATCCTTTGCCGGATCCTCTCAAGTTCACCTTTGTCCAGGTCCTGGCCAGTCCGGCCGCTTCGCTGCATCCATCACCGGCTGCAAGTTGCGAGTCAGCCCCACGTCACCTGGAAGACGTCCTTGACCTGACATGAGAGCATTTCTCCTCACATCAGAACTCCAGAAAGGGTTCACTGTCTCCGTGCCCCTCCTAGTCATTGACCCATCATTCACCTGAGCACGAACTCCTTGATCGCCGTGTTGAACTTGACCTGAATGTCCAACTTGACCCTGATCAGCTTGTAGAGCTCGGCCATCACCAGGAGCGCCCCGAACCAAAGAAGCTAGAAGACCTTGAGGATCTCGAGCTGGCTGTCCGAAGTCCAGGGGCAAGTGAGCTGGCCTCGGCACATCCACCAAAGCTGTCCCCTCTGCTCCACCTCGTTGACCTCCATGCGCAGCAGCCGCATCACCAGAGACTGCTGAGCCCTCGCTCCCCTCAGGCACCATCTTCAAGCGCCTCAGCTCATGCTGCTCCTCCCCAGGCGGAGGCGTTGACCTTGCTCTCCTCTCCATAGCTATCAGGCGATCAAGCCTTTCATCGGAAGTCTCACCGCGGCCACCATCGCCTCGGCTGCGTCGACGCATGTCCATGCCAGCAGCTCAGCGACGAAGTGCGCCCCAAGGCCTCTTTGGGCTCATTACCTGTGGTTGGCACAGGTACCGCGCCAGTGAGCTGCACCGCTCCTATTTTTCTTGAGCCATGAAAGTAGCGCCAAGGGAAATGTGTGTGTCATCCTTGGCAGGGAAGGCCATGCTGCACAAGACTGGTTTCCTATGCAGAGGCCATTCTAATCTTCTCAACTCCACAAAGAAAACTTGTTACACTTCTCGATTTCAAGTGCAAGACGACTAGATCATCCACATTAAGAAAGTTTTCTTTGCCGATCTATCTGCAACCCTTTCTAATATATTTTGTTGGGGAAGGTGTTGGTTGATCTGTAGATAAAGAGGTATTGCTATCGGATGAGTTCATGTATTTTTCTTATTATTGTTTATTTTTTCCTTCTTTTTTGTATAATGAATTATATATCCTTTAAGATTGCACAAGGTTCTTTTAAGGTTCTTTTTCAATTTATTTTCTATTTTTTTAATGATGAATCTAATTGCCTTTATTGCATCTTTTGTGTTTTTCGTTATTTTTGCCAAGTTGGTTGATTTGCTTGGAAAGCAAAGACACAGTAATGGGCTTTGGAACTTTCTTTTTCAGGATAAGCAAGTTTATTTGAGGAATGTCCTTAGCAGACAGGACGATCATTTGAAATAAATTGCAAGAAATTGCAAGTTCTGGTGAGAAATATTATTCTAAGAATCTGCATTCAAGATTCAAGGTTCAAAGCTCAGAAAAAACTTCTTCAGTCCCACCTGTTTGGACTCAAGATTCAAGATTCAAGGCTGAAGGCCTTCGGATTCAAAAAGTTTTTTTGGGATCTTGAATCTTGAATCTTGAATCCTACCCCCTTGGATTCAAGAAGTCTTTTTGGGATCTTGAGTCTTGAATCTTGAAGCCTACCCCCTTGGATTCAAGAAGTCTTTTTGGGATCTTGAATCTTGAGTCTGGAATCCTACCCCTTGGATTCAAGAAGTCTTTTTGGAATCTTGAATCTTGAATCGTACCCCTTGGATTCAAGACGTCTTTTTTTGGATCTTGAATCTTGAATCCTACCCCCTTGGATTCAAGAAGCCTTTTCGGATCTTGAATCTTGAATCTTGAATCTTGAATCCTACCCCTGAGATTCAAGAAGTCTTTTGGGGATCTTGAATCTTGAATCTTGGATCCGATGTACTTAGGGAAGGGTGGGACACGGTGGGATGGGAACAAACTTGCCAAAAAATGCAATTTTTGATCACAAAAATGCCCTAAGTTTTAGAGTCCAACATGCTAAGAAAAATTGTGTAAATACGATTAAATTTGCTTGAAATGTAGGTCTTGGGGGGGTACCATATATATATATATATATTTAAATTTATATGCACACACATGTACTCTCTACCTCTCTCTCTCTCTCACACACACTCTCTCTCTCTCTGTCTCTCTCTCTCTCTCTTTTTCTTTCTCTATATCATACGGGCATCCATTGACACAAGAAAATCTCCCAGCTGCGGTTTCCTTCGGCTCCAGGTGCCGATGGCCAGAGGCACAGAAGATGGTGAGCCCAGTCTCAGATGTGGAAACCCACAGAAATAGATGATTTACCCCTATAGAATGGAGATTTCCCACATCTTTGTTGTTCACAGGGGGATATATTTATACATACATACATACATACATACATACATACATACATACATACATACATACATACATACATACATATATATACACATACATACATACATACATACATACATACATACATACATACATACATACATACATACATACATACATACATACATACATACATACATACATATTGCATATATAGATATATATATACATACATGTGTGTATGTACTTTATATATATATATATATGTACATATATATATACATATATATATATATACATAAATAAAGTACATAAACACACCCATATATATATATATACATACGGTTGATCGAATTTGATGCTTCATGAAATCCCGCAGGATTGAAATGGGGATTTGATTGGCCTTTTTTGGGATATCATTGAACATAGGGGTTCAACTGTCCAACATATCGATTACACCAACCACATATGTCTTTCTGATTTTGAGCCATACCAACTCACCTTATTCTTTTAGCAGATAGGATCCAACCAATTACTGTATCATTTTTGCAGGGGCTGTGTATCAACAAGGCCTGTTTTTAGCACTGCCTGATGTACCAGATGATACGATACCTTACTGTACCATTTAATTGCAACAAACTTCATTTTCCATATTAACATCATCTTCCGCTGAAAACAAATTGTGTTTTTCGTTGCGCTTCAACTTGCGGTTCAACTTTCGGAGGTGCAATTTATTAGACAATTATTTTGTGCGTATCCAGGGCGCTGAGAAGCTGAATTGTGCCTGCCATGGCCGGGCTGGCCGAAGATGGCCCGCTGCCAAGCGCCCTAGGAACAGACCTGGCATCGTTGCCGGGGTATTCGAAGCTGCCATGCAATCAGTGACTGTGGCATTTTTTCGGGCAAATTTTCGGTGAAAATTTTGAATGTTTTTTTGAGTGGCACACATGTAGATATATATATATATATATATGTGTGTGTGTTCAATGTTTGGTAGAATTGGTAGAAAGAACTGGTGTATGGCTTGTAGGTGCAAGTTGCTTAAAATCTGATAAATTGTGTTACATGCTCGGCACCTGTTTGTCCCTAACTTTAGATTGTGCAAGTACTACTGCAGCATTTCAGGTGATGTTTACACCCCAGACAAACAGGAAATATCGTTCAACTTTGAAGAAAAGGGAAATACACAAAATGAAACAGGGATGTCCTTTACCGGAGATAGAGACAACAGGTTCTTGAAAGCATGTAAACAGCATGTTATATGCAATCCGTGTGCCAAATATATGAGATGTACACAAGTTGTCTACCAGCCATAAACCAATTGTATCTGCCCCACTATCTACCAGCCGTATACCAGCCATATCCCCCGGCCATGTACCCTACACTAATTACATTACAACTGCAACAACAACCACAAATACAGCTACAACTTCAACTACAACTACACTACATTACACTACACTACATTACACTACACTACACTAATTACACTACACTAGAGTGCACTACACAAGATCACACGACAACTACAACTACAACTACACTACATTACAACTACAACTACAACTACACCACACTACACCACACTAATTAGACAATACTACCCTACAACTACAACGACAGCTACAACTACAAGTATACTACTTTACACTACACGACACTAGACTACACTACACTATGCTACACTACAGTACGCAACACTACAGCACACTACACTACACTACATTCCAGTACGCTAATTTCACCACACCACAACTACAACTGCAACTGCAACTACACAGGCTAATTACACTACACACTACAATTCCACTACACTACACCAACAGCTGCAACTACAACTGCACTACACCACACTACATCCAGCAGTTGTGGGTGAGGTGACCGCCAGTGCAGCCACTGCAATTATAGGACCGGATAACCCCACATGTTACCAACTTCTCTAGACTTAGACTGAGCATAGAAAAGCAAGAAGGGAAGAGGAAGTATAAGAGTGATGGAGGGGTGATGGTGGGTGAGTTTGTGTGTGTGTGTGGAACATCTGAAAAGATGTAAAACTTCTAACTCGCCTGCTGAATTTCATGATTGGTTTCCTTTTATGTCCTCTTTGATATTGGCAGCCGTTTCATATTTCTAAATGCAGGGGGGCAGAGGGGACTTGCAAAGCTCTGCCCAACGAAGCTCTTTGCAAGCATCCCAGGAAGCACGGACTGATCATCCGTGTGTACCTGCCAGGTTATGATCACCTGTTGTTCAGGGTTTGCTTCCGATTTCCTTTCGAGATTGTCATGGCACCCGGCCAAGCCTAGAACCGGCAAGTCGATTCGATTTTCATTTCATTTCTGCACTGTTGTCGCAATCTGGAATTTTCCACGGTCAATAGAGGAAGAACGAGCTGCATCAGAACGATTTGATTCATCTAGCAAGGACGTAGAAAGAATATCTTCACACTGGTTTTCACTCCTGATCATCCAATGTCTCCTGTCAGGTGTAACTGAGGTGTTTTTGGCACGTACGATGCATTCCACATCAGTAATTCGATAAGATGTTTCTGAGCAAGTGTGCGATTCATGCTGGATTCGTCAAGGTGGCATGAACCCTTCGGGGAAAGCCTTTCCAGGCTAACAATTGACTCGTAAAACGATCTCTGAATTTACACTTTTGAATTAGTAATTCGTCTAAGTAAAGTGAACTGCTGGCCATTTTTCCGGTTTCACCCTGTCGATCGTCAAGTGTTGAACTACGTGCTGGGCCTCTTCCTTTTTGCTTGACCGTTGTATGCATAGCTGGAAGCCACGACAACAATCCTTTTGTTCTTTCTCAAGAGACTGTCCGCAGCTGTTTACATGGATTTCCAGGTAACAGGACATGCTTGCTTTACAGGTGTGGTCACTTCCTTTTGGTTGTCTGGTGAGGTTCAATTGTGCACGTAATTCAAGGGTTGCACACGTCAGCTGTCTATAGGGTTGATCTGAACTCTGGCCATTGAGCCTAACGAGGGGAATTTGCACGCTAATGTGGATGCATCTGTTTTGAACTAGATTTTTTCACTATAACTCCTGACAGTGCTGCCATGTTTCCTGGACGGTTTCCCAACGTCCCTGACACGATGTGGAACTTTGGATGGAGTCCGCAAACGATGGGACTTCAAGGTCAATTTTGTGGGGAGATATGATGAATCAGCAGTCACAAGCTCAGTCTCAAGCTCAGACTCAGGCTCAACTTGCCGCTCTCAGGGAGCAAAATACGATCCTCAACCAACAACTCGCTTCACAAGCTCAGTCCCATATTCAACATCTTCAGCAACTCCTCACACCACATCCACTCCACCAATTCCACAGCCAACACCTCAAGCGTCAGAACCACCGATGGCACCTCCATCCACACAAACTGGATCCAGTGCATCCTTCAATCCTGAAGAGATGATGCAACAGATGAAGCAAACAGTTGAATCCAGTATCCAAGCCTTTGTGGACAAGACTCAAGAGCGAGGCACGAGCCACCTTTCATCACCTCCACATCCACCAACTCCAGCCTTTCCACACACTATAAGTCATCCACAGCCACCCAACGAAGTCCCAACATCACATCACCGCCCTCAACGACGATCCCGGTCCCAACGTCACCGATCCGAATCCAGGAGACCTGACAAACGGCCGGTCTCCATTCCTCGCAGTCCTCGTCGTCGCAGATCCACACGACGAACCCGTCATTCACCACGTCCACGATCTTCCTCCAGAAGATTCTCCACATCCAGACATGCTTCACGGCAACCAAGCAGGGCTACATCTATTACCCCGCGCTCGCATCTCCACAACGTCGAGAAGTACGACATCGAGCACAAGATGACCACTCACCACAAGAACCAACTCACACACGAGCCACTCTCCAACCTGCATCGTGGGAATACCACCCACAACAGTCTTTCTACAACACCAACACTCAGACACAATCCTACCACTACGACCAATATACCACCAACAATGGAAGGACTATTCAAAGTCCTCAAATGCACCCAACGCTTCAGGGTGGATTGACTACTCCAAACCATCAGCCAGTCATCACAACCAATACGACTCCTCTACCAAACCACTCACGGCATTCTCATCCGATTCCACCACATCCAATGAAATTCCGGCGGCTGAAAGACTCCAACCGTCACAAACTATGGACCACCACGACTACGAAAAGGCGTGTGAGCAGCTACATCAGGTCGACCACCGCATCCCTCCGGATGGCATCAAAAAAGCGGTCCAACTATTCTTCAGCACCCACCTACTACCTGATTATGATCTCACAAATTCCCATGTCCGAGAACTTCCAGCCACCAACATGCTTGCACTCATCCTGCCCTTGCCTGACACCAGTCACTTCCAGATGCCACCTCCCTGTCACAAACGTCAGAACCACACATGGGCGCTACTTCATGGGACGTCACTTCATACCTCTCAGCAAATCCTCCTTGAAGGTAAGATCAGACCAGCCAACTGGTCCTATCATAAAAACCTTCAACGTTGCGACATGCCAACCTTCGGGGCCTTCTACCTTGGCAAGGGAAGTATCCAACAGTGACAAGACCATCCCAGAATGGGCGGAAAGAGAGCTACTCGACGCCATCCAGAAGAAAGGGAAAGGACAACAAGACATCGTCATTGGGGCGATGTATCGAGGAGCACACAACCACACTGCCCACACAGCTGGAGGGAATGAAATGGCGCAGATTGCTGTGATTGAAAAAGGAATCGTGACCACGTCTGAGAAGTACACGATTGCCCACAGCAACCATGTGGGATTGAAGTTTGTCGCTCTCAAGTGGCAAAACCTGACCGAGAAGATCGACGTTGGCGACACATCCTCAGAAGATTATAACTATCGCAGCAATGAGGAACGTCAGTCAGGTCGTCGTTGATGGCAGGATCTCAGCACTGAGCAGCTGTTATC